TTCCATTGTATATATGTACCACCACTTGTTCTTCATCCACTCATCTGTTGATGAGCACTTGAGTTGCTTCCACATCTTGGCTATTGTAATGTTTCTATGAACGTAGGGGTGCACATATACTTTTGAATTAGTTTGATTTCTAGTTTCGTACTCTTGTGGTCACAGAAGGTGATTGATGTGATTTCAGTCTTCTTACATTTGTTGAGACTTGTTTTGTGGCCGAAGAATGGTGTATCCTGGAAAATGTTCATTGTGCAGTTGAAAACAATGTATATTCTGCTGCTTTGTGGTGAAGTGCTCTGAAAATAGCAAGTAAATCTACCTGGTCTGAGGTGTCACTTAAGGCTGCCATTTTACTGTTTATTTTCTATGTGGAAGATCTATCTGTTGATATCAATGGGGTGTTAAAATCCTGTACAATGACTGTACTACTGTCAATCTCTCTTCCTTTATGTCCATCAAGATTTGCTGTATATATTTAGATTCTCCAATGTTGGATGGCTAACTGTTTACAAGGGTTATACCCTTTTATAGGATTGATCCCTTTCTTATGTAATATCCTTCTTTGTCTCTTATAGCCTTTCATTTAAAATCTATTTTATCTGATATATAGCTATTGGTACCTCTGTTCTTTTTGGTTTCTAGTGTCATTTTATTCTTTATAGCTATGTTCCTCTCTTTTTTTCTTTCTCTTTTCCTTCTTAAAGAAGACCCCTTAACATTTCTTGTAATACTTATTTGGTGGTCATGAACTCCTTTATCTTTTTTCTTGTCTGGGAAGCTCTTCTGTTTACTTTCAATTTTAAATGATAGTCTTGCTTGGTAGAATAGTCTTTGCTTTTCATAACTTGACATGATACTTCATGTCAATCCTTTGTAGCCTGAAATGTTTCTGTTGAGAAATCAACTGACAGCCCTGGCTGGTGTGGCTCAGTGAATTGAGTGCCGAACTGCAAAGCTAAGGGTCGCCTGTTCATTTCCCAGTGAGGGCACATGCCTGGGTTGTTGGGGCGGGGGCATGTAAGAGGCAACCACACAATGATGTTTCTCTCCCTCTCTTTCTCCCCTACTTCCCCTCTCTCTAAAAATGAATAAATAAAATCTTTAAAAAAGAGAGAAATGAACTGACAGTCTTATGGGATCTTCCTTGAAGGTAACTATCTTACTGTTGCTGCTTTTGGGATTCTCTTTGTCTTTATTCTTTGCTGTTTTAATTATGATGTGTCTTCAGCCTCTTTGGGTTTACTCTTTTTTAGGAATGTCTGTGCTTCCTGGATTTGTGTGCCTTTTTTTCCCACCAGGTTAGGGCAGTATTTAGTCATTATTTCTTCAAAGAGTTTCTCAATCCCTTCCTCTCTCTTTTCTGCTTCTAGCACCCCTATGATGTGGATGTTTTGTGCTTGATATTGTGTCAAGGCTTCTTTAAACTGTCCTCAGTTTTTCAAATTCTTTTTTCTTTTGATGTCCTTTTTCATGCTGTTGAGCATCCTTATAACCATTGTTTGGAACTCTGTATCTGGTAGTTTGCTTGCCTCCATTTCATTCATTTCTTTTTCTGGGGATTTCTCCTGTTCTTTTGGTTGTGACATGTTTCTTTGATTCCCCATTTTGGCTGACTTTCTCTATTAGGTAGATGTGCTGTGTCTTCCAGGATTGGTATTGTGGCCTCGTTTACTAGGTGTCCTGTGGGCCCAATTGCCCAGTCTACCTGGTCACCTGAGCTGGTTTCTGGTGTGGGTTATATGAGCCCTCCTGTTTTAGCTGAGTCTTGATTGCTCTTTGCCTGTCTGGAGGTTGACCCTTAGGCTGGCTTACTGTGAGGATTGACCATGAGCCCAATGTGCCAGTTGCTGGGCAGGCCCTGACTCTAGGAAGCAGAATTTTCTCCAGCATGGTTTAGTGCAATGGTCTCCAAATTTTTTGCATCAGGGACTGGTTTTGGGGAAGACAATTTTTCCATGGACAGGGATGGAGTAGGGGTGGGGAGGAGACAGGAGTTAGAGCTCAGGCAGTAATGCCAGTGAAGTTTCACCCATTTGTCTACTGCTCACCTCCTGCTCTGTGGCCTGGTGCCTAACAGGACATGGACCGGTACTGGTCTGCGATCTGGGGGTTGGGGACCCCTGATCTAGTGCCTGGTTAGATCTCTTTTTGGATGTGCTGCTTGCACAGCTAATCATGTCATACCCTACTGTGGTCCGAAACCAGTCACTGGCTATATTGATTCTGGAGACTCTTGAGAGGGAATCTGATGCAGGTCAATGTCAGATCCTTCCGGTGACTGCCCCTGGGCTATCTGTCAGGAGCCGCTCTTGTTAGCTGTGCTGGCCCTGGGTGTGCATGTGAGGGCCCAGCTGTGTACTGGGGACCATCTGCCAACAGTACCAGGCCTGAGGCATATCATCAAAAGTCCCACAGCACCTCAAGTCCTTCATCCACCTGCCAGCTGTCCATTAACCTCAGCCCCTGAAATAACCTCATGCAGTACATAATTTGTATGAGGTAGGTTATCAAGTGAGTTACCATATAACAGCAAGTGGTGTTCATCAGTTTAATACAGATTCAGGCTGCATCAGTGCTGGGTCTGAGGCCACTCACAAATTCTCATGGTATGCTGAGGTCAGCCACCACCTACTTGGGTCCTGTTGACCTATGTGCTGGGGTGTAGTCTAAGGGAGCCATCAGGGTTGACCCAGTAGAGTTCAGTAGCTTACAGCAGACTAAGGTTTGGCCTGTGGAGCAAGAGCTCTGCACAAGAAGATGGCCCTTGCCCTAAAGCCATACAACTCAGCCTCTCCCTGTGTGTCCCTGGCACACACACCCCTCCCCCTGAGCTCACCTATAGTTCCTCAAGAGATTTTTAAAGAAAGACAGCAACACAGGCTGAGGCAGGCTGTCACTGGTAGAGCCCAGAGCTGTGTGTGACCTGGGTATAGGGCAGAGCCTCTGGGAGTCATCAGGATGGGACTAGAGTAGCTCCCCAGACTAATGCCCTATGGAGCGAGGGTCAACCCAGAAATGATAGCATCTGTGGGTGATGAGGGAGAGGGACCCAACACGTGGACTTTGGTGGCTGTCTCTCCAGCCCCCTTCTTGAAGCCACACAACTCAGTCTCACCCTGTATGATGCTGGCAACTTCCCAGGCACTGTCAGTTCACCATAGCGATGGTGAGTGCCAGTTAATGAAATATTCTGTGCTGTCCCTTTTAGTGGATACCTGGGTTTCCAACAGCCTTCTGTCTCACCCCAGCAGATTTAATCACTGCTTATTTTCACAGGCGGTTGTTATGTGGGCTCCTCTTCTAATCACTGGTGCTCCAGACTGGGGAGCCTGGAGTGGGGTTGGGAAACCTTGCTCCTCAGAGGAGACCTCTGCAGCTGAGATATCCCTTTGGATTCTCTGGTGCCACACATGGATGAAGGGCCAGTCCATTTTGCATCTCCAACCCTCCTACCAGTTTCTTTGTGGTCTTCTGTGTATCCTTAATCTTGCAACTTCTGTTCAGCTAGTGTTCAGAAGATTATACACGTTGATTGTTCTGTAATTTAATTGTAATTTTGATGTGGTCATGGGAGATTAGTGCAACTTCTACCTACTCTGCCATCTTGGATCTCTCTTGATCTGGATGGGTTTTGAAAATTAGTGTTTGTCATGGGTTATCTTATCTCCTAACCTCCCTACCCTCACAGCTATTTTGACCAAAGGACAGCACATCTTTCAGTTTGATGCCTCCAGTACTATTGAAAGAGCAGTAGAGACACTCAGGTCCATTAAAAATAATTAATTGGTACCTGCTGTGTGCAAGACACACATACTTGGAAGTTGTTTACCACCAAGTAGGAAAGGCAGGCAATAAACAAAATTGCAATATACTCTGTTTTCCAATGCTGTCTTTCGATCAAGATGAGGACAGTGGGCTGGAAATGGCTTGAAGGAGATACCAGGTATCTCCTTCAAGTGAATCTCAATGGATAAATACACATTCTTTAGGTCTAGGAGAAGGGGACCATTCTAAGCAGAGGGAATGGTATAAGCAAGGATACGGAAGTTGAAACAACATGGTTTAGCCAGATAATCTGACCTAAGCAATGTAGTATTTCAAATGCCCATGGTCAGCAGTGCCTAAGATGGAGATCCCTGGAGAGGTAATAATAAGAACAGATACTTCTAATGGATTATTTCCAGGCTACCATGCTAAAGCCATTTAGGTCTATTCAACAACTCTCTGAGGTAGGTACTAGTTTTGCAAGTGGAAAAACAGAAGCCCAGAGAGTTTAGGTCACTAACAGTCACTGTTGCACAGCTTATGAGTCACCCATATCAGCTTCAGAGCCTGTTACAGAATGCCTTAATTCCTACTTTCACAAGTTTGTCCTGTCCTGTAAGAAAACAGGACAGCAATAAACAGAATTGAGCCAAGGAGGTAACTAGGGATCAGAAAATTTGGGGTTAAAAAAGTCTCTATTGTAATTAGGCTGTTTGTAACTTCAGGCAAATGTTTTTCCTTCTTTGGACCTCTTTTCATCTGTAAAATGAGGACAATGATAAAGGGCTCAGGTTAAGGATCCCTTTCAGCTATGTGAATTTTTTGTTTCTCTAACTCAGGGTAGGGAAGGGCCTGGATTCCCAACTGATGAGACTGGTATGCACTTTCTCTATCTACTTTTTTCTTCTTTATGTACACACTATACCTCTTGCCTGAAATGCCATATTGCTTCCCTTCTTTCTTTCCAAATACTCTCTAACTATAGCCCCACAACTTAACGTCTCTTAACTTCTACAGTGCTACTAAGTTAGCTGTGTCTCACTTTGGCCCCTCATTATATACTGCCTTGTATTCTTTGCTAGTTGTTTCCATTTTAATGTTTTCTTCCCATTTTGGGCCTCTTCTTTTCTTCTATGTTTTATTTTCACTTAGCCCCAATGTCAACTAACAGTCTTGCTTACATAGGAGTCTTGGAGAAAATCTTGTTAATCATTTTCTTTCTCTTTTGGCAGTGTATGTGAGCACAGCAAAGAGAATCTTATGACTCCTTCCAACATGGGGGTGATCTTTGGTCCCACGCTGATGAGAGCGCAAGAGGACACTGTGGCTGCCATGATGAACATCAAATTCCAGAACATTGTGGTAGAAATCCTAATTGAGCACTTTGTCAAGGTATGTATTTCCTGTCCTCACCATCACTTCTCCAAACATGTAATACTTTTCCTTAGCCACCTTGTAGAGTGTGTCTCCCTTCCTGGCTCAAGTTGATAATGGAAGGAAATTCCATTATGGCCCAATGACATTTAATAGCATTTCTGCCCCTGTGAAATTCATTTATTCAGCAAATATTGCTTGATTATGTAACTATTTCATTATTGGATACCATGCTAGGTAGTATAGAGAAGAAAAATATCACTATTTACATTTATACTTAAAGTAATTATTGATAGGTGTGTGGTTATTACCATTTTATTTTTCATATTTTTAATTTTCTTCTTGTTCTTCATCTTTACCTCCTCCTCCCCTTCTCCTCCCCTTCCTCCTTCTTCTCCTCCTCCTCCTCCTCCTCTTCCTCCTCCGTTCCTCTTTCTTCTTGTCTTTTTAACATTTCTTACAATACTGGTTTGGGGGTGATAAACTTCATTAGCTTTTTCATGTCTGGGAAGCTCTTCTTCTACCTTTCAATTATAAATGGTAGCCTTGCTGGTTAGAGTAATCTTGGTTGTAGGTCCCTGCTTTTCATCACTTTGAATATTTTGTGCCAATCCATTCTGGCCTGCAAAGTTTCTGTTGACAGTTCATCTACTCTTACTCTAAATTCATTGAGCAATATTATAACTAGTACTTTGAACTCTGTATCTGGTAGATTGCTTGCCTCCATTTTGTTTAGTTCTTTTTCTGGAATTTTGTCTTGTTCTTTCATTTGGACCTGTTTCTTTGTCTACTCATTTAGGCTGCCTCCCTGTGTTTCTACATGTTAGATAGATCTGCTACGTCTCCCAGTCTTGGCAGGGTGACATTATATAGTAGGTGTCCTGTGGGACCCAGTTGTGCAGTATCCTGGGTCACCTTAGCTGGGTACTTAAGGGGTATCCTTTTTGTGGGTTGTTTGTGCCCTCCTGTTGTAGTTGGGCCTTGATTGCTGTTGGCATATCACTGGGTGGAATTAACCCTCAAGCTAACTGGCTGTGACTACAGAGGATGAGTTACCATATGGGGGCAGACTCCAAGGCGTGGGATTTGCTTTAGTGGTCCTCTGGTGCCTGCTGAGTCTGCCTTTTGGGTGTGCCATTTGTGGAGCTAATTGGGTGGTGCTCTGATATGTTCTGAAGCCAGTCACTGGGTGTGTTGGCTCTTGGGCCTCTTGGGAGGGGCAATAGTGCAGGCCTAGGTCAGCTCCTGCCTGTGCTGGGCCCATGTCCACATAGTAGGAGCTACAAAGTGATCTATGGTAGCAGCTGCCTGTTCTGGGCTTGGAGACACCTGAAAGTGGTTATGGTGTGAACTGAGGCCAGTTGTCACTACTTCCATGCTTGTAGCGGCTTAATAAGAGGTACAGGGCATGCTGAGTCGAGCCACTGCTTGTTTGGGGTATGCGGACCTTTCAGAGATTTGAGGGAATTCTGTAGTGTAGCCCCAGGCAAGCCTCTTATGAATAACAGATACTGGAAGAGGTTCAGGCTTGTGTGTCAGATAGATGGAGTGGATTTTCAGGGTATCACCAGGGTGGGGTGAGTTTGATGGAGACTCAGATTTGGCACCTGTATGCAGCCTGGATTAGGGGGAGGGCTCAGCAAAGGGAAAATGGCGCCTGCCTGCCAGTTCTATTGTGGGAAGGCTCAACAAAAACCACAGTGGCAGAGAGCAGCCTCTTCAGTCCTGACCTGAAGCCAGACAGTTTAGTTCTTCTCCATATGTGTCTGGCACTTTTTGAGCTGCTTCCTCAGGGCTAAAACTTAGAGCGAGTGTGTCTGTCAGCAAGTAATGCCATGCATGCACCCTTTAAGAGGACCATCTGGGATTCCAGAAGCCTCCCATCTCTCCCGGAGGGAATCCTCACAGATTTTCACTGTAAGATGTTGGGAGTCTTCCTCCTGGTATTGGTGCTCCAGGCTGGTGAGCCTGATGTGGGGCTGGGACCTGTCCCTGCTCTGGGTGATCCTCCACAGCTGAGATAACCATCCTACTTCCTAATTGCCACACATAGTTGTAGAACTAGCCTGTTTTGCATCTCTGTCCCTTCTACCAGTCTTGATATATATATTTTTTAATGTGCTTAGCTGTAAGAGTTCTGTTCAGCTACTCTTCAGGTGATTTTTAAGGGTGGTTCTATATTTTGGTCATATTTTTGATGTGGTTGCAGGAGGAGACAAACATAACATTTACCCTACTCCACCATCTTGGCAGAAGTCAGTGGTTTTGCAATTTTAAATACAATAGCCAGGAAGGCCTCATTATTAAAGACTACCTTTGAGCAGAGAACCATAGGAGATAAAAGAGTGGTTCATTCAGATAACTGGTGGGAAAGCATTCTAGGCTGAGCAGATGTTAAATACAAAGTCCCTGAGGCAGAATTGTGCTATCATCATGTTCAAAGTGGCCGGATTGGCTAGAATAGATTAAGCAAAAGAAGAAAGAGAAGATGGTTTAAGAAAGGAAATAGAAAGAGCAAGCAAAGTAGATACTATAGTGCTTTAGAACCCATTGGAAGGACTTTGACTTTGTTATCTGTGTAAGATAGAAGGGAGATTTTGACCAGAGAAGTGATATTATTAGTCTTAGGTTTAACAGGACAATTCTGGCTACTGTGTGGAGAATAGCTGTAGGGGAACAACGGTAGAAACAGGGAGACTAATTATGAGTCTCTTCTAATAATGCAATCAAGAAATGATAGTACCTTGGATGAGGGTGGTAACAGTAAAGATAGAAGTCAGATTCTAAATGTATTTTGGAGGCAGAGCCAATAGATTTGCCGACAAATCATATGTGGAGTGCGGGAAAAAAGAGAAGATCCATGGCTGGCTTCCAGGTTTGATTTTTGGTTTTGTTTTTTAATATATTTTATTGATTATGCTGTTACAGTTTTTTCCTCCTTTTTTATTCCTCTCTACCCTACACTACCCCCCTGCAATCCCACCCCCCCTAGTTCATGTCCATGGGTCATACATATAAGTTATTTGGCTTCTCCATTTCCTATACTATTCTTAACCTTCCTCTGCCTATTTTGTACCTACTATTTATGTTGCTTATTCCCTGTTCCTTTCCCCCCATTCTTCCCCACTCCCTCCCCTCTGTTTTACTATTCATAATTTTTGATCTTCTTTTTCTTAGATAAGTCCCTTTAACATTTCATATAATAAGGACTTGGGGATGATGAACTCCTTTAACTTTGCCCGATCTGGGAGGCACTTTATCTGCCCTTCCATTCTAAGTGATAGCTTTTCTGGGTAGAGTCATCTTGGATGGAGGTCCTTGCCTTTCATGACTTTGAAAGCTTCTTGTCAGCCCCTTCTTGCCCGCAAGGCTTCTTTTGAGAAATCAGTTGAGAGCCTTATGGGAACTCCTTTGTAGGTATCTGTCTCCTTTTCTCTTGCTGCTTTTAATGTTCTCTTCTCTTTAATCTTGGGTAACTTAATTAGGATGTGCCTTGGTGCGTGCTTCCTTGGGTCCAACTTCTTTGGGACTCTCTGAGCTTCCTGAATCTCCTGGAAGTCTATTTCCTTGGACAGATTGGGGAAATTTTCCTTCATTATTTTTTCAAACAAGTTTTCAATTTCTTGCTCTTCATCTTCTCCTTCTGGAACCCCTATGATTTGGATGTTGGATTGTTTAAAGTTGTCCCAGAGGTTCCTAAGCCTCTCTTAATTTTTTTTGAATTCTTGTTTCTTCATTCTGTTCTGGTTGAATGTTTATCTCTTCCCTCTGCTCCAAATCACTGGTTTGAGTCCCGCTTTCCTTCCCTTTACTGTTGGTTCTCAGGATATTTTCACTTTATTTCACTTTGCATAGCCTTTGCTTTTTCCTCCATTTTGCAATCATACTCAGCCAATTCAGTGATTATCCAGATTACCAGTGTTTTGAACTCTGCATCTGATGGGTTGGCTATCTGTTCATCACTTAGTTCCATTTTTGGAGCTTTGATCTGTTCTTTCATTTAGGCCATATTTCTTTGTCTCTGTGTGCATTGGAAATCACTGGAAGGGGCAGAGCCTTAGGTATTAGACAGGGTGGGGCAACCCAGGTCGTGAGTTGTGACACTGTCTGTGGGGGAGGGTTCCAAGTAGGAACAATGCTGCTTGCTCAGCTCTCCACCGGGTTTCAGTCACTTCTCCCACTACCCACAAGCAAATTGGGCTGTTCTGATGCTGATTCTCAGGTGGGTGGGTTTGTATATGTTCTAGGACTCTGTGGGTCTCTCCAACAGACTCTTCTGTGAGGCTGGGAGTTTCTCCTGCTGCCGCAACCCCCACAGGTTTTTACCTCCACAGGTTTTGAGGCTTTCTTTTCTTGCACTGGAACCGCGGTCTGTCTTGCTCCCCAGCTGTTCCTCTGGTTTATCTACACACAAATGGGGGACCATCTGGTCCTCTACCTGTCGCCTTGCTCTGCGTCCTCTCTGCCCCAGCTGCCCATCTCTGCCACTCCTATGGGTCTGGTTGAATGTTTTTTCTTTAGTTCTTTGGTTGTTGGATTTCCATAGAGTTTGATTTTCTGGCAGTTCTCGTTATTTTTTGTTCTTAAATTGGTTATTGTCCTTCTTTTGGTTGTTCGAGGAGGGAAAGCGTATCTACCTATGCCTCCATCTTGGCTGGCCCCACCCAGGTTTTTTTTTAAAAACCTGAACAATTGGAAGGATGAAGTTGCCATTTACTAAGATGGATAAAACTGGAGGGGGACAGATTTGAAAGTAAACAGCAAGAGTTAAGTTGGGGACAAATTAAGATAGATTTTCGTATGAGACACCTGAGGTCAGAGAAGAGAGCAGGAATAGAAAAATAGAATTGGCCTTCAATAGGAGAGAAGGGGTGGTTAAAATCATGTGAATGAATAGTCTGTTATGAATTACTTGCAGCAAGATAATAAATGTTAGACCAAGGATTGACATCTAGGGAGTGCCAATATTTGAAGGGCCAATAGGAGAGACTACAAAACGTATTGGGAAAGAATGGTCA